GCAATGACGATCGCGTCAAAGATGGTGGAGAGAGGGCGTGTATATATCGTGAAGAGCGTGGAAAGAAAAGTCGCATTCGTTCAGCTTAGAAAAAGGAATCGTTGGCTAGGCATCGTGCACGCAACCAAACGAATTAACGATCCTGGCCTCGGCAAGGACACACTGGTCCGAGAAACTTTGCGTGCATCCACGGAAGTGAACGAGGAATTGCCTGGCAAATCGTTTCTCCGCGATTTATACGGATCTTCGTACGTATATATATAATATCGCTACCCTTCAGGCTGGTGCAATCTTCGAAACGATCCTCTCCTTCTTCCTCTCCGTGTCATCGAACTGTTGCGTTGATCTCTCGGTTTACCGACACCTCGTTTAAACGAGAGGTTCTATTAACTATAAAACCGAAAAAGAAAAAAATTGGTTAAGTGGTATCTTTTTCATCGAATCTAGGGAGAAAATCAAACGAAAAGCGCGGGGAACAGGAAACACGCGTGTTCGCCACGCAAACGAGAGCCGCCATGCGGATAACCGCGCTCCGATTTTCCCATGCCGCCCGGTTTCCAGTTAGCCGTCAATCGCTAATCATCTGAAAAGTGTAAAAAACGAAGAGACCAGTCGAAACTCTCGAAAAAATAGGCTCGATCGAGAGGACAAACTTACACTCGCTCGACTCCTCGTTATCCCTCGCGAAGGAAAGAGGCAAACAAACCGGTTCGAAACGAAAATCCATCCTATTTTCCGGATGCGAGGTGTGGAAAAAGTGCTTAATCGACGATGTACCGATGGCGAGTATCGAGGCAGGTTAATCGTTGGAATCGGCGATTCCGGCATCCGACATCGACATCCGATTCGGGAATTAATCGATCCGGTCCGCGGAAGGGACAAGGAGGGTCGGGTGGCGAGGGAAGCGGAAGAAAGGGTGAGCCCCGGGGGCTCGGCGTGGGCGACGACGAGCGAGATCGGTGGGCGTCCACCGGTTCGCCCAATTGGTCGATCGGGCCGGTAATGGTCGGTGGGCGTTGGGTAAGCTCAGATGCGCGGCGTCGGGTGCGCACTTGCCCCGAACGCTCGCATCCTCCTCGCTTCGCCCCCCTTCGCCCCCGTTTCGGCTAAGCCGCGCTCCACCGCCTCCTTTCCTCTCCTCGCCGACCGATCGTAATCGTGCAAGCCTCGTCTTCGCCTCTCTCTCTCTCTCTCCTCCTCCTTTGCTCCGTGAACTCGTATTTCTCGTCCTCCTCCTCCTCCTCCTTCTCCTCGTGGACGTCCACTCGTCCTCCTCCTGCTCGTGTTCGCGAGCGCTACCGCCGCGGCGCCTTAAATCTTGATCTCACCTGAGCGGCTCGGAGGGTGGGGGTAAGGCTAGTCTGGGCGCGCTTCGAGCCACCGAACGGAAGGCAATCTGCTCGAATCCGGCGGACCGCGAACAGGTTACCCCGTGTACTCGTGTTACATCGTTCTCCTTCTTCTTCTTCTTCTCCTTCTTCTTCTTCCCCTCCTTCTATTATTGCTGCTATTTCTTCTTCTTCTTCTTCTTCTTCTTCTTCTTCCTCCGTTGTTCCGTTTCTTTTGCCCCTTATATTTTTCCCCGTTCGTGGACTTTCTCCCCCCTCCCCTCGTTATCGCGAGGGGGATGAGAACGCGACCGCGGTGTCGAGAAGAATCACGTGTTCGTTCGAGCTGTCAAACCAACAAAGTGCGCGAGATATTCGTTAAATATATATATATATATATATTGGTGAGTTGGAGAGAGAGAGGTGATTGGTAATAACGTGTTCTCGCTCGATCGAGAGAGGACGATCGGGGATCGTCGTTAGGAGAAGAATTAGAGAGAAGCGGCAAGGTGAAAAAGAAAAGACTGGAACAAGGTCGGAGGGAGGGAGAGAGAGAGAGAGAAGGCAAGTATAAAGAGCGTGCGGTTACCTGAAATCTGGATGTCAGCTGCTCCCGCGAGAGGCGCGAGAAGCGAGTGGGGGTGAGCGAGGCTGGCCGTTGGCGCGCTTCGAAAGCCCGAACGGAAGGCAATCTGCTCGAATCCGGCGGAGCGCGAGCAGGTTATCCCGTGGTGGCTTGTCGTACCTCGTCGCCCGTTATTGGAGAAGGGAGGGGAAGAGAGAGAGAGAGAGAGAGAGGAGGGAGGACGCCGCGGAAGAAAGAATACGAAG